CCTCTCCCGCCAGACCCCCAGGCACACAACTGTGGCTGAATGCACCGTGTAACCCTCACAGCAGTGAGGCCACACACCGTGGGGAAGCTGAGGAAGAGAAAGAACTCATGGGATTGGGATTCTAGTTTGCTTCTTTAGGGGAAAACTCAAGAAAAAGGGGTCCCATCTGGATTGGGTGTGGTCAAGCAGTGGGGATAATGGACTGTGTGTCTGAAACCTCATCTAGGACCGATGAGAGCGAACACTGTCCTGGGTGAAGCCATGACTCCGATTTGGGGGGAGGAGACGTTTGTTTTGTGGTTCGCAGTGGCCTTGTTTTTGTCTCTGCTTAGAATTATGAAGTTGTCTTATTCCTTTTTGTTTCACTTCATCATGGCCTCAGCATGCCCTTGTCTGAGGCTGGTGTCTGTGAGAACATGTCCAGCCAGAAAAGACCTCAACCCAGCAGCTGTGGGTGCCGGGCAGCCCCTACCAACATCCAAGGCACAGCTGTTTCAGGCCGCTGCCTGGCTGTCAAGGCTGCTGCCTCTCTCTCACCTCTCTTCAGACTCGCCTTTGTGCCTGGAGAACATTGTAGGGATTAGATGAAATGGAACAGGAGAACATAGTACTAGCCCAGAACGTTGTTTACATAACTAGCTGGTCTATGCTTTCCATTGTTTTGACAGTTGTCTCTTTGAGAACCCATAGAGAAGAGCCCCACTTCCAAACACCATGCATTAGCACCGTAACCCCAACAAATTAGGTCGCACAAACCTCGAACTTCATGGAACCAGGAAGCCACAGTCAGGACTTGAACTCTTATGCCTCCTGATCCTCTATTCCCCCAAATGCTGACGATGGCACCAGCTGGCGACCAGCCCACAACAGAACCTGGATGAAATCCAGTAGAGCTTTTTCAAGCTACTATTGAATCGGGTCTAAAAATCCTCCCATCAGAGATCAAGGTCAGGGCAACAGCAAAGAGCACAGAATCTGTAGGTTGGATATCCATCAGCTAAAGGCATTTGTGGGGAGCCCTGGAGTTCCATCTAATCCTGCAGCGTAAAGTGCACAGAGTGGTGCAGTGGGACCAAGGCTGGCCGCTAAGAAGTAACGCTATAAGGATCTTAACTTCATTCCCCTGCTCTTGCTCCTGAGATCCACACCCCTCATTCTTCTACATCCTGTACAAATTCCCATCTAAGGACAGAGTCTGCAGTGAGGGTGTTCCTCATAAATCTTCACAACACCTCAGATGACAAAGTTTAAAGGGGAGGAGGGCTTCTCTCCACTCCACAACCTTCACCCCAACTTCTAACGAAGCCTTCTAAGTCCAAGGGGGACATGCAACATACCTAGGCTAGCGATTTATTTGTATTCTCTGGGTTTGGGGGTTGCAGAAATAGAATATGCAGAAGTAACTTCTTTTCAAAGACTTTTCAAACAGTTTTCCTAAGTCCTTACAAAAAAAAAAAAAAAATGTCTTTCTATCCTTTCGCTTGGGAAACGGGCGAATAAAACTCAGCTTGGAGATGAGTTTTAGAGTGAAGAGGCTTTGCTTGCTCAGGAGGTGTGATGGTTTTTAAAATGTCTCGTGTTTATTTTCAGTTGTCTCAGCACAGAATGTTCTGTCAAGCAAGGTCAATTAAGAGAGACGCCAAAATAAAATTACAGCTGAATTGGAGCAAAGGACTTGGTTAAATATCGAGAAATGGTGGCTTCAATCATCAAATTATTTTGCTTCCAGCCAAGTCAAATCTGTAAGTCTCAGTTTTGTTTTGAAAACTCAGGACTTTGCTGAAGTGGTAAGAAAAAAATATAATTTCAACCCACAACGTAAGTGCCCAACCTCCCCACGAAGGGTTTTGTGGGATTCCACACCACCCTGATGCAGCCTGCGCCCTCACGCAAACATGGTCTGTGCAACTGAGGTGAATACGATACCCAAGGCTGTTAATAAATACTTTATTATGAATGGCCCTGTGGGAAATGAGGACAAAGTTAGGAATACTTATTACAAAATCTCATATCATTTCTGATTGTGGTGCCTCATAACCAGCATGAAGTTATGTTTCAATTTTTTTAAATTCCTAATGTGGTTTGTTCAAAGCACTGTTGCATCATAAGGGAACTATAAAAAAGGAAACACTGGTTAATAAACCAATAAAATGGTCACACAGCTTAAAAACTCTCATACCCTGAATGACTGTTTTCTAATTACTTGGTAACTAGAGGCCAGTGAACAAAAATTTGGGTTCCCTCAGCCCAGCCTACACCCCCTTGCAGTCCGGGACCCCTCAGGGGATATCTACCTGCCTGCTTAGGCCTGCTCCCTGGGGGGACTGGGCCTAAGCTGGCAGTCAGACATCCCTCTGCCAGCCCAGAAGCTCTCAGGGGATGTCCGACTGACAGCTTAGGCCCACTCCCCCGGGCCTCAGCAGCAGCTGGACATCCTTAGCGCTGCCCAGGACGCGGGAGACTTGCTTACAGCTGTCAGCCTGGCTTGTGGCTGAGCAGAGCTCCCCATGTGGGAGCACAATGACCACCGGGGGCAGCTCTCATGTTGAGCGTCTGGCCCCTGGTGATCAGTACACGTTATAGGGACTAGTTGTTCCTTGGTAGTTCTGCCCTTAGGGTTAATTTGCATATCACCCTTTTATTATATAGGATAAAAGTGTTTAGATATTTGATTCATAAAATCCAGTGTTAAAGACTTTCAACACGCCGGCTCTTTTTAACGTGAGAATGAAAAGGCAAGATGCCCAAGTCCTTTGATGCAATGTAGTGGATTTATGTTTTTGAAAAACTGTGTGCTTCCTAGAAGGAGCTGACAGGCAAGCTCAGGCAACACTGAGAGCAAGCAGGGAGAAGCCAGATGCTGATGGGATCTCAGAGCTGCAGCCACTTCCTTTTGGGGAAATAAATCTTTTATTTCGCAACTAGTAGATTTAATATGAAAAGTCACTAGCTACGCCATTCTCGGTGATGTGTAATTACCAATCCTTAATTTTTTCCCCCCACCGATATGCTCAATTTGCTGTTCTCCGGATACAGATTTCAGGGTTAATTCTGTTGGCCTGTTCATTAAAAAATAGTAAGTTACCTCCAGAACAGTGACTTTATCAACCTTGACAGCAGCATTGCCTCCATCTATTACAATGACCAGAATGTTCTTTACATTCCCACTGCTAAGAAATTAAGTCCAGAATAACTACCTAGATATGAGACTTAACAATGACCCACATTTTTATAACATAATGTATATAACATTCCCCAGATATAATTCTCTAGGAAGAGAATTCCTATTTTTTTAAATTTATTTATTTTCTGCAAACAATTTTAGAGGCAGGGTGTTAAACTGATTAAAATTTCACAAGATTGACATTATTGCTTAAAGTGCTTGAATTTGTTACATTTTAAAAAATTAAGGTACAGATTATTTTAAATGAAAACTAATTGTTTTTCATTTTGTTTGTTTTTAGCAACAAAGTCATATGAATGCCACACACACAGAGTAACTATTTTGGTTACACAGTAATGGAAGCCAAAAATAAATTAATGTAATACTGGAAAACAGAAACTTACTTAGGCAGAAAAGTGGAAACCCTTCTCCCTGACCCATGCCATCTACAGAGTGAATCACAACAGTGCTGATAAAGGCCTGACCACAGGAGAGCAAAACATTTAGTGCACAATATTTTAATACACGGGACTATACAAAGTTGATCAAAATGCAATGTTTAAAGATAAAATCCATCTGTAATAAAGCTACACTCCAATATGGAAAATAAGCCCTAGGCTCAGGGAGAGCATAGTTCATTGTTAGGCATGAACATGAAATTAGGGGCTCCCAGGAAAATAAACGCCCGTGGGCCATTTCTGTCATTTCTTTCCCCATTTCATCTGAAATCCAAAATATACTAGGCTATACAACCAGCCGGCTTCCTCCAGCCAGCACCCTCTTGTGCTGCTCCCTGGCTGCCTCGGACCAGGCTGCTTCGTGAAGCCTCGGAACGGAAAACGCACCGACGTGTGGGAATAATGTCAGCATTTTACCAAAATTCACCTTTTCGGCACATTGCACCACAATCTAGATGCTAAACTAGTCAGTAGCCAATAAAGCAAGTATTTCTTCTTGTGTCAAGTGTAAAACACTGTAATTCATTTTAAAACACCCAGCAGTTAAAAAAAACAAAAAAAAGAAAGAGCCGAAGCTGGTTTGGCTCAGTGGTAGAGCGTCGGTCTGCGGACTGAAAGGTCCCAGGTTCAATTCCGGTCAAGGGCATGTACATTGGTTGCGGGCACATCCACAGTAGGGGGTGTGCAAGAGGCAGCTAGTCGATGTTTCTCTCTCATCGACGTTTCTAGCTCTCTATCTATCTCCCTTCCTCTCTGTAAAAAATCAATAAAATATATTTTTTTAAAAAAAGAAAGCAAGCAGGCCTTCCTCCTGCCAAAAACGGCCGCGCCAGAGGCACTGCTGGGTTTTGTGCTAACCTTGGCCTTCGAATGGTCCAGCGTTTCCCCCACAATCTCTGCTCTGGGGGATGAATGAGGGATGAAAAAGAAAAGTGTGTGCATGCTGCTGTCTTTATAGGACGTGAAGTGACCCGGGGGAATGTAGCTGCCGAGTGCGTGTTTCATTAATTGGAGAGAAGGGAGAAATTACCAGATAGCTCTTAAGTTTAAAAACCTGACGGTGTGTTGGAGGATAAGTGCATTTTCCCAATCTTTTCCTGCATCACACGACCATTTCCATATCTTTGCATTATTCCCCATTCTTGTTTTTTATCCCAAAAATCTATCCATGAGTACTGAATTTTAACTGATCCTTTCTATTATAAGGAATTACTTCAGTTAAGTCACTGGAAAAAAATCTCTTTATACATTAAAAAGAAAAAAAAAAAAAAAAAAAAAAAACACCAAAAAGCATCCTGAATCTATGACTTTTCATTTAGATATTACTTATACAGGCTTCCAAATGAAACTTTTTTTTTCTAATAAATTAGCTTCAAGAGTCATTTCAAAGACAATTTTAATAGTTTTCCTTATGAATCAGTTCCAAATATATTAGATATCAACCATCATTTTCTTAAACTTTGCAACCTGCAATCAAATATATGGGTTATATATAGTACAAACAGTTCCCTACAGCAATCACCTTCAATTGGAAAGTGTCTCTCCTTAATAACAGAATAAAAACTCACCTTCCCAGTAAGTGATCACTGCATATGTTTCATGGAGGAAAAAACAGACAAAATACTTATAAATATGAATTTGCCTTTAAACAAGGCAAGGTATACTTCTGTCACTCGTATAAAACAATAACGTGAAGATCACCCTGTTTTGTCTTCTCCAGTGAAAAGTAAAACATTTCACTTCAAGCATGAACAAATGAAGTGTCGGCATGCTTATTTAAGTTCTGAGCAATAAACAGTTCACGATATTTCAAAGATAAGAAATCCAGTTTTCATCTAGATAAAGTGCTATGCTCTTACTTGTTGCAAAATGGCCACTAACATCTTCAATTTCAATTTTAGCTCACATTATGCCAAACGCTTGCATGTTCGTTTGCTGATTTATTAGGTAACAAGATCATGTGTTCACAGTATATTATAGTGTATGGAGGTCAACCAACTTCCCAAAGGAAGGTCTGTGACTCATAGCATTTGTAGGAAACCAAAAACCAGCTCAACGGCAAAACACCACATCAACCCTTTTAATAAAAGGTACCAATACTCAAATGATCTAATAAATACATATATAACAAAAGTGGAAGAAAAAAAAATAACTAGGGTGAGATGAGGTTCTTCCCAAAAACTCTGTCTGTCAAGCATTCTAGGAGCCTGAGTCAAAGAAACGCTGCCGTTCGGCTCCTCCCTCCACCCACCCCCCGACACTTTCCTCGACCCACCTCCACGCCACTAACTCCAGTCTTCCCTCCAGGGAAGGTTCCGCGTTGTTCTGGGCTGCCGCTGCCTCAGCACGCAGGCCGAGCTGCCTCAGAGAGGGCAGCGGCCCAGCGTGCGGACGGTCCTAACGGGGCAGCGCCCTCGTTCTCCCGGGCACAGAATGCCGTGGGTCTGGCTGCTCCGGAGAGCTGTGCTGGAGGCAGCCACCCAGGTCCCAGCCCTGTGACCAAGGACTGCGAAAGGCCAGCGCCGGGGCTGGAAGGGCGCCCTGGAAGCTTAGCAGTGCCAGAGGAGAGAGAGAGAGAGAGCGAGAGCACACGGGACCTTACGGAAGAAAGTGGCACTGAAAACACACAGCAGAGAGTTATTTTCCTGAAATGCGGTTTGGGAGAAAGATAAGAAAAGCAACTTTTCTCTCCCCATGAAAGCTTCCTCCTCCTGGCTTTGCCTGCTCTGACCTCCCCACCTTCTTTGCCTGGGGAATTCCAGCTTGAGGTGAGCACAGTCCAGGCATGGCACCTCGAACAGCTCTTGACCCTTTCCCACCTGGAGGATGGTGTCAGCATCTGAGGTCACTCACTTTTAAACAATTTCACCTGCACACACTTAAAGCTATAGCTGCAGCCCTAAAGGTGAACATCTACCCAATTCTGTCCTTTGAGGCAGAGAAGCTAAACATGGGTAGCAACGTTTCCAGGGACCCGTTAAAGGAATGCATTGAAAGGAGACCCTGGAACCACTTAGGAAGCTCAGCAAAGACCCTCAAACAGACTGAAGACATTCTGGGACATGTCATTCTAATCCAGTCAGAAACAGCCAGTGGCATAATGTTTACCCAACCCTAAAATTAGCAACTGTTATTCATATAAATCTTACTACAATCTGATTGCAGTTAACTTCTACCTCAGACTAAAATAAGACCACGAATAGTGCTGCATGTAAAAAAAAAAAAACAGAGAGAGAGAGTCTAACACAGCCAGATCATTGAGACTCGGAGTAATACATTGGTGGGCTGCGGGGAGAAGCAAGTCCCCAGAGAACCCAGGTAACAGTGCTTTGAACACTCCCCCTCTTGAGTTAGTCCCAGTCCTTTACATTATTCTCGTGACTGATAGAATAAAATATATCCAGATTCCGAATTTTTTGATATATCTGACGTCAGGCCATAGAATTCTTCAATAGCTTGGGCATCAATTTTCTGCAATAAAAGAGAAATATATTTGTATAACATGACGACTGGGAGAAGGACCGGAGAACTAATGAAACACACGAGGAAAATGTCAGAAACACTGTTGGCTATAAAATCACAACTGGGAATGTCCGATAGCAGACGGTAATTCCACAGACTTGGCAGAGGACACGACTGCATAAACTGCACATCTCTGGGGAGAAAGCCACCCTCTAATCCACATGTGTCAAACACAAGGCCCGCGGGCCAAATCCGTCCCACCAGGCCTTGCAATGTGGCCCGCACCGCGCTGTCATCACTGCACTCCGCTGCGTTTCCATCACAATGACAGTTTATGACTGTTCAGTAAACCATTCGGCCCGCGATTTAGGCTGGATTTTAGATTTTGGCCCCTTCTCTGATTGAGTTCGACACCCCTACTAATCCATCAGAAGCCACATGTGGGCATGCTGAAGGAGCCAGGCCTTCTGTCTTTCAAATGGCAAACTGAGGCATCCAGCTACTATGCCTCTACAACAAAATCAACATTTGGAATACTTTGGTGTAATATAAAGATTTTCCAGGTCCAACAGACTGAAGAAATAAAGTTTTTAAAACCAATACAAGAAAAAATTGGTATAATGAGAGAATTTTAATAGAATTTCAAAGTGCAGGATTTGGTCTTTTCATGAGGCAGCAGAAATCCTAATATATAAAAACCCTGGGTCTGTCACAACTGGAGGCTTGACCAACCGGCAGTCAGTCCTGCAGTCAGTGCGAGGCTGCCATGGTGACCCAGCACTGACTGCTGAGGGGGCTGTGAATCAGGCCCAGAGAAAGGCCTGAAGAGAGAAATAGGGTCTGATATGTAGCCTATGTAGCAGCTGTTGATCAGCACTTGCCTCTCTCTCTCTTCGGGCCAAGCCAGCAGCTGCACCTCCATTTCTCTCCAGGCTTCCACCAGAGCTGCTGAGCAGCCCTGCCTTTCTGGTCAGGTCCTGTTGATAGGCCCAGAAACACTGACTGGCACAGAAACCGACCAATCAGAACCAAATCTGGGTGAAATGTAAGGACCCAATGGCTGCCTAGGAGGCAGACCTTTTGACACTGACTGACATAGAAACTGACCAATCAGAACCAAATTAGCCAGCAGAGGAGGGCAGTTGGAGGCGAGATCAGGCCAGCATGGGAGAGCAGTTAGGGGCGATTAGACAGGCAGGCATTCAGAGGCAGTTACGGGCAATCAGGAGGCAGGCAGGCAGGTGAGTGGTTAAGAGCCAGCAATCCCAGATTGCAAGAGGGATGTCCAACTGCTGGTCCTAAACCAGCAGTCAGACATCCCCCAAGGAGTCCCCGATTGGAGAGGGTGCAGGCTGGGCTGAGGAAAACCCCACTCTCTGCACAAATTCTGTGCACTGGGCCACTAGTGTATAAATATGACTGATGGTGGCATAAAGCTCCCATGTCCATGGCTGATCAGTTAACAAGAACATAGTATTAAGTAGGCCAGGAACACACCCCTTCTCCTTCTCCACAGAGAATGAGAAGCAGCAGGGTTTCATTTTGAGAGAAATGTATGTTGTTTTAAGGTCAGATGGTAGGAAAACAGGCCTCTTCTAAAAAACATCCACAGCTAAACATTCCCCAAAATGCGACCCCCACCCCACCCCTGCCGCAGAGCACTCTGCATACCCACCTCTACGATGTCGTCATCAAACAAAAGCCAGAAGCCGTGACTTTTCACAATAGTGATATAATGCCCACGATTAGGACCGCTGGAAAGGCAGAAAAAGATAGTAGCCCCGTTAACATTTACGTCTTTATAAGCAGCGATTCATTAGAGAAAGCTAGCATCAGGGCAGAACGTGGCCTGACCAGTTCACAAAGGAGCGCCAGGCGCTGGTGCTGTGCTTGGCACAGAGAGTGCAGAGAGGAATAGACATCTAGCGTCTAAGGACTCACAATCCAGGGGAGAACAGACATTCAGATTGGACACATATAGCGAATAACCACTGTATGCATACCTACTATGTGCCAGATCCTATTGTGGCTGTCGGGGGGAAACGCAGTGAACAAAACCAAGTCCCACTTTTGGGGGGACAGGGGTTGAATGGGGAATAAACAAACTATTCAATAGAATGTAGATGCCTCTGCAGTGGTGGTAAAGGCCATGAGGAATAGAGCCGATGGGTGGCATAGGGAGTGGAGAGGGACGGCATTCTCTGACATAAAGGAAGGGAAGGGCCCTGATAATATGAGATGTGAGCAGAAGAAATTTCCCTGAAGGAAAGGGCTGAGGGACATGCCACGGACTATTAGATGGAAGCGTGGGGAATAGGGAGTAGCAAGTGCAGAGGTGTTGGGGGACACGGAAGGGCAGGGAGGCCGGGGCCGAGAGAGGCAGGGGCAGCCAGAGCCGGAGGGGGAGGGCTTTCCGGGCTAAGGTTCTGGACTTTGCTGAGGGTCAGCCAGGAAGGTCCTGGGAAATTCTGAGGAGCTGATTTAAGTTTCAGAAAGATGTTACTAAACCACAGTGTATACTACCAAGCATGGAAACAAAAAGGTATATATTACACAACAAGGAAACAAGTAGAAAGAACTATTAAACAGCTATCATTCTGTCGTTAGATTTGCACAAATGAGATTGGAATCCTAAATTTAGAGTTTTGTTTTGTGCAGTGCACCACTAGAGCTGAAAAGCTATATTTCCCTGTGGTACCTTTCTCAAATACAAGATGACCCACCCGAACTGTTCCAGCCTCTCTCCAACCTCTGCCGCCTCCCTGAGCCCCAGGCCCCTGCTCTCCTCAGCTTCCACACATCACCCCTCAAACGCCGGCCTTCCGCCCGCTGCAGCTGCCTGAAACGGTCCTCCCCCCGTGTTTGCACTCTTGCCCTATGTTATCCTGAGGTCTCAGCTACAAGGTCACCTGAGCAGATAAATCTCTGCCATCACCTCCCCTCGCTCTCAGTTGGTTCATTCCTCATAGTGTGAATCAAAACCATAAAGTGTTCTGCCGTGGTCCGTTCGTTTTGGGCGGTGGCAGGCTGCTGTGTTTCCTTGTTAGCTACCTTTCCCACTAGGTCCTCGGCTTCCTGAAGGCAGGGCCCGTGTGTCTTGCTCACTGCTGTTCCTTCAGATCCTGCCTGGAGACCCAGAAAACAAGGGTCCAAAAGTGCTTGCAGCAGATATCGGTGAGCGAGGCTGTAAACCCACTGCCACCGCGGGCGGAGGCCCTGGTGCAGAGAAGGCTCAGCTCCCCAACCTCAGAGCTCACGGTGCTCTGCGTGTCAGAACGTGCTCTCGTGGGAAGAATGTCAAGAATCCCAGTGAGCAGCATGCGTGACTCAGCACCCACTCGCCCTTGCTGCCAGGGCTGCTCTGATCTCCGGCACCCCTCACAGAGGCCGACTGTCCCGAGCCCAGTCTCCCGCTCGTCCTGTCTCCTCAATGGTCTCTGCTGTGCCCTCCCCAGTGCTCCCAGGATCAGAGCTGGCACTCAGAGACCCAGACTGAACACCCAGGTGTACCCTACAAATCTGAGTGCTTCCGTTTCCCCATCACACCGCCCGCCTCGGCCACAATGCCCTCCAGGTACCAGGCTCTGCATCCCCAAACCTCCACTCCCCAACCCCAGCCGGGGGCCCACCCAGTGTTCCTGGCTGGCTTCCAGATCACTGGGCCCTGGGTTCTTCAAAGGGGCCTGTTAGAACTATTCCTCAGGGAAAACACAAAGCCGGCTGGTTAACTGCCTGGTAAATATAACCAAGAACAGAAAATACCCAGGGACTTGAAGTTGTTTAATGTGTGCAGGACAAAACGGTGCTTCAGATGTGACATTACAGCTCGGGATACCATCCACCCAACACAGGGTTAAACACTCATCCATCCACTCCTTCTCGTGGAGCTGCGCACCTCCTGGGCACGCCCCGGGCAGAGGCAGAGGGAAAGACACCTGCACTGCGGCTTGTCACCATCTAGAACCCGAATCTAGAACCCACAAGGCAGGAAAAGCCGTGCCCACCCGGGGAGAGGGCACACACCGACCGCGAGTAAAGGAAAAAAAGAGGTGAAGTCTCAATGCTCAGACATGCTCAGACATCTCCAAAATATGAAAAATATTTAATTATCAAAAATATTTAATCAAAACACTGCTCTTCTGTATCTAAGGGCCTTCTCTCTCTTCTTCCTGATTATGTACTTTTTTAAAAAAGACTTTGCTCTGTTATGTGTTTTTTTAAATAATTTATAATTTTTTTTGAGGGAGAGGACAGGAGAATGAGAGAGAAAGAGAGTGAGAGTGAGAGTGAGAGTGAGAGTGAGAGAGTGAGAGAGAGAGAGAGAGAGAGAGAGAGAGAGAGAGAGCGCGCGCGCACGCGAGAGGAACATCGATGTGAAAGTGCAACACTGCTGGGCTGCCTCCTGCACACCTCTTACTGGGGACCGGCAACCTCTTGGTTTACAAGTGAAAGCCTAACCCAACTAAGTCACACCAGCCAGGGCCTGATTATGTACTTCTCATGGAATGTTGGGCAAAGACTGAGAAATACATAAATAATATTTTTAAGAATACATTTTCAATCATTCAAAAAGCCAGAACATTAAACTCTGACCTACTGCTCCCAGTCTTTATTCATCCATCTTAAAACACTTTCGAAATCCCATAACCTGTAACCTGGCTTTTAAAAATTAAAATCCTAGCACATAAGCATTTATGCATTCATGTTATTTCAAACTCTTCCCAAGCATCATGTATAACCAAAGGAGATTTATTATTTCCCTTGTGATAAAACATTTAGATTATCTTATAATGCAGTTTATTTTACTTTATGTGTGTATGCAGACACGTTTGTATTTGTTTTAGATGATACATAAACAAGAGCTTGGAAGAAATTCCACAAACAGCTCCATTATTACTGAGACTCACAGCCCAGGAAAGGCCCAGCTGGAGCTGCTTCAGCACAGGGATCACCCACACTTCCCGCGTGCCCCCCGCGGCCTGCCGCCGCCCGTACCTGCCACAGTGCACCACCACAGCCACCAGGTCGTACATGCGGTCCAGGTTCACGGCGTCGCTGGAGGTGTTGAAGAGCCGCAGCTCCAGCGGGAAGACCACGCGGTAGGAGAGCTTGGTGTACCTGTGCAGCTGCTCCATGTACTTGAACCGCTTCAGGTGCAGGGCCAAGATCATGGGCAGCTTCTTCACTCTCATTCTACGGAACCAAGAAACAGAACATCAGTGTATCCGACCCGTTGGGGCAACAGAATCCACTGCTGCCTGCACAGATGGAGAGCAGCTCTGACCAACTGCAAACGAGCAACCACTCATCAAGTCTGCTCGCTCGTGCAGAGCTGACTTATCCCACATCCTCAGCTAACTGAGCACAGAGAAAAGCGCAGCCTGGGTCTCTGTTTGGTCAGAGGAGACATTCCAGAACATCTGTGCCAATAAAAACAGGGAGTGCGATCGCTCTGTCACTGCCCTCGCCTGCCAGGGAGGAAAGCACTCAGGCAATTCTCCAGCCCCTTCCTGAGATGCTGGGCAGGAGGTGACAGCTCCGGGGCAAGGACAAGCAGGAGGGTGTGGTCTGGACTTCCAGGTTCCGAGGACCAGCGGGGATGTGCCGACACCGCCGGCTGCTGGCATCAGGAAACCAAACATGCCAAGCTCACTCCCACTCCCTTTGTGCTCTTGGGCACGTCACTTCCCTTCTCTGGCTCTGTTTCCTCGTTCAGGGGTTGGCTCAGGGCTCCATTTCCCAAACTGACCTCCTCGGCGCCCTGGGGACACTAACAGGGTGGGGTTTCTGTGGTGTTTGGACAATGCCACTGTTTGAAGCTCCTCCCTGCACCTTAGCCAGTGGTTTTGAGAAAACCACACTCAAGGAACAGTTTCCTGTTGTTTGATGCAGCATTCCCCAAACTTACATAAACACAGAAAGCTTTTTCACCCGAGGGCCATTAATATTCCTTGGCAGAAAGTCACAAAGACAACAGCCTCAGTAGTGAGCACTGCTGGGAGGGAGAGTCCTCCTGGCACCTTGCAGGACCCGCCTACGAATGTCCTGAATTCGTGTATATTCTGCTCGGCTTGTGTACACAGTGATGCATATTCTTTGAAAGGGACAAATTTTAAGAGAATACTATTTAGGAATGTATTAAGGTAAAACCCTGTTCATAAAAAATTACTAAGCAAAATAACATCGGGAGAAACATATGAATTATGGGGAACCCCCTGTTTTATAGAAGCACATGACATTTTAATGTGTGAGACCTCTGGAAATCACCTATTGAAAACCTGGGATCCAAGATGTCTGCGCCCAGGTAAACGCCTAGCCGCAGCTGCACACAACAATTTCAATAAAATACAACTAAAACATAAAACGGACATTGCCCAGAACTACAGGAAAGTTGACTGACTGGAAATTCTACAGCGAGAAGCAAGGAGAAAACCAGAAGGAAGCGCGGAGGAGCTGGAAAAGCCCAAGGTACGGAGAGGCGGCGCGCGGAGAGGACAGAGCCGGAGAGAAGGGGGAGACGGAGTGCCTGGCGGGCGTTCCCTAGCGGGAAGGAGATAAAACTCCGACTGTGCTGGGCCCCCGACTGCTCTGAACCCCACATCTAGGCCAGACCCCGGGGACCCCGGCTCAGCCATAGGGAGCTGGGCTGTAAGGCGGAACCCCGGGGAGCGGAGAAAGGAGGTCCTGGAGGCGCGCACACTGCGTGCAGAGAAGGGACGGTCGGCTGCGCCGCGGGATTGCCCTGACGGGAATGAGACTGGGGCTCCAGACTGCTCTGAACGCCACCTCCAACTCCACTTCCAACTGAACTGAACCCCAATACCGGGCTCATTGGGGGAGAGCATAGACTGTTTGGCAGCAGGCGAAAATCGAGGGCACCTTTCTCTCAGAGGCGCCGGCAGCAGCGAGCACTGAAGGACCCGCATAGGACGGGGCTGACAGAAGCCAAAGCTGCAGGCTCCACCCTGAAACCCCTTCCCATCTGTAACTGCAAAATGCGACAACAAAATAGATCACAAACAAAAGAAATGGAGGACAAAAAGCGTCTGGATATAGAGTTCAAATCTACGCTTATAAGGTTTTTCAAGAATTTCCTACAAAAGATGGATAAGACCTATGAGGATATGAAAAGAGATCAACTAGAATTAATAAAGAGTCATCAAGAAATGATAAGGGATCAACAAGAAATAAAGAATACATTGTCTGAAATAAAAAATATTTTACAGAGTCCTAAAAACAGAAGGGAAGATCGCAAGAATCAAGTCAAAGATTTGGAACATAAAGAGCCAGAAGACACTCCTCCACATAAGCTAGAAGGCAAGAGAATCCAGAAAATTGAAGATAATGTAAGAAACCTCTGGGACAACTTCAAGCGAACCAACATCAGAATTATGGGGGTCCCAGAAGATGAGAGAGAGCAAGATATCGAAAACATACTGAAAGAAATAGTGACAGAAAACTTCCCCCACCTGGTGAAAGAATTAGACTTACAAGTCCAGGAAGCGCACAGAACCCCAAACAAAAGGAATCCAAAAAGGACCACACCAAGACAAATCATAATTAAAATTCCAAGAGCAAAAGACAAAGAGAGAATATTAAAAGAAGCAAGAGAAAAGAAGGTAGTTACCTATAAAGGAGCACCTATACGATTGTCAGCTGACTTCTCAACAGAAACCATGCAGGCCAGAAGGGAATGGCAAGAAATATTCAAGGTGATGAATAGTAAGAATCTACAGCCGAAGATAATTTATCCAGCAAAGCTATCACTCAGAATCGAAGGCCAGATAAAGAGCTTCACTAATAAAAAAAAGCTAAAGGAGTTCATCAACACCAAATCAGAATTATATGAATTGCTGAAGGGGGTTCTTTCAGAAGAGAAAGTAAACAAAGATAAAAATTATGAACAACAAATACGTAACTATCAACAAGTGAATCTAAAAACCAAGAAAATTTAAAAAAAATCTGATGAACAATAGTAACTGTTGAATATAATAGAATCAGAGATATGGAAGGGGAGTGAACTGACGATTCTTGAGGAAAAGGGGAGAGGGGGGCGTGGGAAGAGACTGAATATAAACTGTGCACCTATGGATGAGGACAATGGGGAGTGGGGAAAGGGCAGAGGGTGGGGTGGGAACCTGGTGGAGGAGAGCAATGGTGGGGGGGGGAAGGAACATTTGTAATAATATGAACAATAAAAATTTATTTAAAAAAAAAATAAAATACTCAAAAAAAAAAAGAAAAAAAAAGAAAAGAAAGAAAACCTGGGCTGGCCTAGGCTGACTTAAGAGCATACAGATGGGAGCAGAGGTGAGCTTCCCTGACCACTAAGGAGAGCGAAGTACCTACCGCCCACGCTCCGCCTGCCACGTGACTAACCTTCTTTCTGTAAGTTTAGATCAGCAGGGAAAGATGCGAAGGGCCGGGAGGCTGGGCAGAGGAATTATTTCATCCTCGGCTTCAGGCCCCGGAGGGTTTGGATGGCGGTAACAAGCATCTATGAGTTACCGAGAACATTCCACAACCAGGGGCCTGGTAAGTTTAACTCACAGAGAGGCTTCACAGGATAATTAAATTGTCAAGTTTCTTGGCTTCTGGGGGAAAATATCATTGAAGCACTGGTTCTCTCACATTGCCCAAGAGCTGTGACTGGTGACTGGTGACTGGTGGTGGGAAAGGGACGGGCAATCTGGGTCCTACATCAATTCAGAATGTGACAACTCTCTTAGCAGCTACCATGCAATTGATGTGCTACTATTTCCTCATCATTCCTTATTAAATGATTAATTTTTTGACCTCATATCTTCTAAATAAGAAGCTCTGCCCTCGCTGGGTGGCTCAGTTGGTTGGAGTGTCATCTGTACACCAAGAGGTTGTGGTTTCAATTCCTGGTCAGCGCATGTACTTAGGTTGCAGGTTCGATCCCTAGTCAGGGCATGTACAGGAGGCAGGATGAATGTTCCTCTCTCTCACAGATATTTCTACCTCTCTCCCTCCCTCCCCTCCACTCTCTCTGAAATCAATAAACGTATCTTCAGGTGAGAATTAAAATAAAAAGAAGTTCCAATGTTTGGGCAACACTAACCATGTTACTGGGTGACAACTATATGTCATGTGCTCTACTGGGTCCTTTTAATTTAACCCCAAGACAAAAGTGACTGTATCTGATGATCATTTATTAGCCAGGGCACATAGGAACACTCAATCAATATTTGTGGAAGCAATGCATGAAAGACCAAATGAGCAAACAATCACACGAATGGACAACTCTGCAAGGCAGGCATTCTTACCCTACTTTACCCAGGACAAAGGTAAATGACTTCTCCAAAGCTCCTTGGCTATAAGCCCATGGAACTGGGACTCAAAATCAGATCTGGCCAGCTTCCCAGGCTGGCTCCCCCTCCAGACACAAAGCCACCCTCTTGAGCTAAATCCTTTACGCACCTTTTCTGGGCCTCCTGTTTGCTGCAGCACGTTTCACAATAATATTTCTGTTCACTACACAGAGTTTCTGTGTTGCTGAAGTCTCTGCAGAGAAAAATATTTACAGCTTAAGAAGACGACCAAACTGGGCTTGGTATGCCGCATTTTAAACCCTCTGTCACCCACAGGGTGATCTGTGAACGTAGGGAGTGAAGTGATGAGAAAAGACCCTTCTTACAAGTATGATGCCATTAGAGTGTGTCTACTGGGCTGGACTGTGATTCCACCAGGAGAGATGTTCAACTACAGCTTTATTTAATTGGACACAGACAGATGTTTCCAACCAATTCGGGGGGAAAAGTGTTTAACAAAGAATATCTGTAAATTGGAGATACAAATTATAATATAAAAATACTAACTATAGCAAAGTTGAGTCCAAAAACATCAATCCCATAAAATTACTGGGATTACTGTACTGTAATGATAAACGGCACATCTCAGGTGGTCTGTATTTCCTAAGAGCTTGAAAATGAAGACAAGGACATGTAAACCATATGCAACTGCCCTTATATTTTTAATTGAAATATAAATAAAAATATATTTTTAATTAAAATACTATTATTCACATGTGAAAGACTCAACCACTTAAACAAGAAAGTCCCAATGATCAGCAGATGACAGCTTCCTACCAACCCCTGCTCCTCGTCTCCCACACCCCGGATGACAGAAACGTTAGCCTCCCTCCCTTTGAGAACAGATGCCATTGTGGTGCTATGTCACTATTTGACTTATAGCCTACTGATAGATTCATTTTTAAATGTCATGGCTTTTCATTCTGTCTGGTCCCTGAGATTCTACTTAACATTCCTGTGGTACTACTTCAAAGGCGGAAAGAACATCCAGAATATAATAACACCCCACAGTCTTAAAAAGGTCTGTGACATTTCCTTATGCACGGGGAGTGTCCCAGAACCAGAACGCTCACGATTTACTAAATTGAAAATGTTAGCTGAGCCAGTGTGGCTCAGTGGTTGAACATTGACCTATGAACAAGGAGGTCACAGTTCAATTCCCATTCGGGGCACATGCCCGGGTTGCAGGCTCGATCCCCAGTAGGGGGAGTGCAGGAGGCAGCAGACTGACGATCCTCATCATTGAAGATTCTATCTCTTACTCCCTCGCCTATCCTGTCTGAAATCTATAAAAATATATATTTGTAGAATCAAAAATGCTATTATTCACATGTGACTCAACAATTAAACAAAGCTTATCAAGAGAAAACATGGATTGTTCATTAAATTCCCAAATGTTTACCAACAGTACTTGGGACAGAGATTCGCAGAGTCTCTGCCCTCACACAGCTCAGCCTAGAGAGAGATACACAGTGAGTCACAAACATTTAGTGCTCAGTGCAGGTCCATCAATCACTTCACACAGCTGATTCCCCTAAAACTTGCCAACAGCTTCTCAGTGCAGCTGTGAATAAAATCCAAGCTCCCTGCCAAGGGGCAGGCCAGCCGTCTTCAGATCTGACTGCTCTTCTGACCTCATCTCCACCTTGCCCAGGCCCTTCACTCTGCTCCAGCCACATGGACCAGCCTTCTCCTGTAGCTCAAGTTCAATGCTCTCCCTGCCTCCGGGCACTTGCAGATGCTCCTTTCCAGATGCTTCCATGCTGGCTTCATCCAATTGGAGCTCAGTGTAAAAATGTCACCTCTTGCCAGGAGACTTCCCTGTCCACTTGCTCCAAACCCACCCCTCCCAGCCCTAACGCACTGCTGTCTGGTTTTCTCTGGAGCACTCAGCACTCTCTGAAACCATCCTCTCATTCATTAGTACGTGTCTCCCCTCTTTGTGGGCACTGATCCCGTCTGTCTCACTGCGATAGCCTAGCACGGGGAACAGGCCCAATGCTCACGGCACTCCATAATGCGGCCCACTGAACGAATGCAGAGGAGTGTGCACAGAGTCCAGGGAAAGCACGGGAGAAGGAGACATGAACTTGAACTGGGGTAATTCAGGACATTTCCCCGGGGGCGATGCCCGAGTCAGGCTGTCGGAGGGAAAAAGTGCTGGGGGGATAGGAGTCAAGCACTGCAGACAGAGGGAACGCCAACAGAGGCGCGGAGGCATGCTGCTTAGAAACTGGCTTGGACCCTGCGGCTCTGGAGCCCCACTAACCAGTCTCAGCAAGAAGAAGACATAATCAGACAGTGCTTTCTACAAATACCACTGCTGGCAGCACCACGGAGGAAGAACCGGAGGGGGTCAAAGGCAAGGAAACAATTTAGAAGGCAATTACATTCCATCCCGGATTTCAAGCGCTTGGTGCATAATACAGTCTCAAATGCAGCTGAATGAATACAGGCGACTCTTCAGAGAAGGAACGGGTGGGAAAGCAGTTCTTGGCCTGCACAGGCCTACAGGGTGGAGGTGGGGCTGGGAGAGGGAGAGGTGTGAATGGCTGGCAGTGGAGATGCACACCCTGGATAAATCTACCACAGAAAAACCTCTGTATCCAGCTCAAGAACAGAAAAACCAAGGCAAGCAGAACAATGGACAGGGATTTCTACTTACTGTATTTCTCAAAGGCACTTTCCTGAAGTATTTTAGACCCAGATAGTAGAAATACAGCAGAAGTTAGTACCTAGTTTAAGGGCCCACTTTACAAATAACCACCAGCCTACCCGGCCCAAACTGGCTGGAAGCTTGTTGCCACAAAGACAGGGTAATGCTTTTAGGGGGTCTGTGAGTTGAGAAATGGGAAGTGAGGTGAGGTGAGGAAAGGGGGTGAACAGCAAGAAACCCTGAGGCAGACCAGGCCTGCCAGCTGCTATTGTATAACTGCTGGAACAAAAGCAGGCAACAGAGGTGAGGAAACTGTGCAACAAGGAAGTCAGAGGGGAAGGAAAGAGCAGACCTTTTCCAAGAGCAGATTAATTACTAAGCAGAGATAAGGTTAGAAAAAAAGCACAAAACTCTCTGTATTTCTTTCAAAAGAGTCATAGTGACAGTAAAACATTATTGAAATATATACTTTGAGCCAAAACCAGTTTGGCTCAGTGGATAGAGCGTCGGTCTGTGGACTGAAAGGACCTGGGTTCGATTCCGGTCGGGGACATGTACATCGGTTGCAGGCACATCCCTGCAATCAATGCTTCCCTCTCATCATTGATGTTTCTCCCTCCCTCTCTGAAGTCAATAAAAATATATTTATACATACACACACACTCATACACAATTTGGGAACAAATCTAATATAAAATGCACACCTTTGTAAATAAAAAAAACTATATAATCTATGGAAATGTATACAGAAAAAGACGAGGAAAAAAGGAGAAAGATTATGTTCATGGATGGGAATGTTATATAGTGTAAAGATGGCTATCATGTCCAAGGTAATGTCTACATTTGATACATTTTTTCATTAAAATCTTAACTTTCCCACTCAACACAATAGCTCAAAAATTGGTTTTTAAAAAATTCTCAAGCAATGCTTCCAGATAGCGCGCATGGCATGGTGCACACAGAACATATACTACACAGCAAGAAGCTGTGGTAACCTGATGCGGCTGCTCCTGTGGCTCTGCTCAGCCCCTAAGGCAGTGTTTCCCAACCTTCCCTCATGATGAGAATCACCTGGTGGAGTTGTTAAAACACAGATTCCTGAATCCCAACTAAGAAGTGCTAAACTAGAATTTTTGGGAACATATAGGTAAAATTGTATACTTAACTAGTGCTCGTAAGACAGATTTTATATACAGAGCACTAAGTTAGGTATGCAATTTTACCTATATGTTCTCAAAAATTCTAGTTTAGCACTTCTTAGTTGGGATTCAGGAATCTGTGTTTTAACAACTCCACCAGGTGATTCTCATCATGAGAGAAGGTTGGGAAACACTGCTCTAAGGAGCGGAGGGCATGACACACCTGCGACCCATTTACCATGGCACACCAACTGGGAAGCTTTGTTCTGGAACCTACAGCAGTGGTTCTCCTGGCTGTTCCTTAGAATCACCTGGGGAACTTAAAAAACAATCTCAATCTCCATTTCAGCCCTCTCACCTGCCCCCCATTAATTACATCAGAATCTCTCCTGGTAGAACCCAGGCATTGTTCTTAATGCAACCCAGGTGGCTCCAACGTGCTGCTCTGCAAACATTCACATACGTTTCAATCTCTTGGAGATTTTGTCCAAATGCAGGTTCTGATTCATTCACTCTCTTGGGGGAGACCTGAGATGCTGTGGTTTTAATGAGATGGCAGGTGACAACAATGGTACTAGTCCACAAACCCGTTTGAGGGGCAAAAATCTAGAGCAGTGGTTCTTAAACTTCGGTGGTATCAGAATCACCAGGAAATTAATCAAAAATAGAGGTGTAGGCTCGCCAAAGTTCAATATGGCCTGGGCCTCAATTTTTACCAACCTTCCCAGGTGAATCTGACACAACAAAGTTCGAAAACCACTGACTAGAACTTTTAAAAAAAAGATTAAAGCCGAAACTGGTTTGGCTCAGTGGATAGAGCGTTGGTCTGCACACTGGGGGGGGGGGGGGGTCCCAGGTTCGATTCTGGTCAAAGGCATGTGCATTGGTTGTGGGCACATCCCCGGTGGCGGTGTGCAGGAGGCAGCTGGTCAATGTTTCTAACTCTCTATCCCTCTCCTTTCCTCTCTGTAAAAAATCAATAAAATATATATTTTTAAAAAGATTAAAAATAGAAAGCTATGAGAAAAAGTTATGTGTCAGATATTAGAAAACACCATATAACAACAATCAAAACTGAAACACAGGACAGTGAAACTGAGAGAGAGATAAGTGTGTGGCTGGCAAAGGAAGTGTGGTGGGGCTTACATGAACTTAGTACATGAAAGAAATTTCTCAAAATAAGTAGAAAAGGAATTTTAAAAAATTAAGATTAACTTTTAAAATAGGGTTTTTGTAGTGTTAAAAGGCTCCTTTCCTTCTGGCTGATCTTCCTGGAGAAGGGGAATTTAAATGAGAGGAAGACGGAGGGAGAGGAAGGTAATCTCAGAACCGGGAGCACTGAGGACAAAGGTACGTTTCTGTGAAGAAGGAGCCACAGGGAGGGACTAAGGCACAGAAGAAGGAAAGGCCACGTAAGGGTAACTGAAATGAACTTCACGCACTTTGAGTTTTTGCCTGAGGCCATCCCTTAACTTTTCAAAAGGATAAAAAATTTCCTTGGTATCCTCCTAGGGTAAAGAGGGCTCACCTCACCTAAAACACAACTGAGGTTTGAAATATCAGAATTATAGCTCAGCGACAATTTGGATCTGTATTCTGAACTTAACTACATTTTATATCAGCATTTCTCTGGGGCAAAAGTTTACTGACATGATGTTAAAGGAAAAAACTTCAGGATTCTAATTTTAAAAACATGTCTTCAAGAATGCAAACCAGCCAAAACCGGTTTGGCTCAGTGGATAGAGCATCGCCTGCGGACTGAAGGGTCCCGGGTTCGATTCCGGTCAAGGGCATGTACCGTGGTTGCGGGAACATCCCCAGTGGGGGGTGTGCAGGAGGCAGATGATCGATGTTTCTCTCTATCCCTCTCTCTTCCTCTCTGTGAAAAAAATCAATAAAATATATATTTTTTAAATGCAAACCAAATGAAACCATGTAAAGGGCCAAAAGTAGGTCAAAATAATTCCTCATCTTTTGTCTCAGATGGAAAAAGCTGGCCTTCCTCCTGCACATCCATCGCAGAGCTCTCGGTGATAAATGACAACACCTGGCAGGTGTTGGGAGGTGAGGTCTTAGGTATAGATGAGGGCAGGTATAGCTAAGTCAGTCAAGGTCTAGTTTAAGAAGGATGTACAATGAGGATGGGCAGGCATTTCAGGAATATCAGCCTGCACAGTCCCATCAAATGAGAATCTCATGTTGGATGAAAGGTTTTCCCAGGCTATTTTGTACACATCCATCCCAGCTTTATCATCTCCAAATGCCTCTAGCCTGCCCTCCTCGGGTATGCATGGCCAATATTCTGTATACATTTTTCCAGGAAAAAAAATAAACAAATCTGGATTCCCAAAGGTTAAATTTTCTTTTAAGATTTTTATTGATTTCAAAGAGAGAGGGAGGGAGGGAGGGAGGGAGGGAGGGAGAGGGAGGGAGGGAGGGAGGAACATCAATGATGAGAATCACTGATTAGCTGCCTCCTGCACACCCTCTACTGAGGGGTGGGGGGCTGGGGATCGAGCCCGCAACCCAGGAATGCGCTTTTGGCCCGAATCAAACCTGGGACCGTTTAGTCCACAGGCCAATGCTCTATCCACTGAGCCAAACTGGCTAGGGCCAAAGGTTGAAATTTTAACTAACCATTGGCCCTTTTCCTGGTTGGCCTCAAAGCTAAGGCCACTGCTGTCTGCCTTTTGGAACAGTCCAGATCATGCTAAGAAGGGAAGCAGTCAACCCGCCTAACTCCCCTTCTCAAAGAAGGGGTATGGACAATACCCTTCCTCCCATCCCCTCATCTGTGACTAATGTTAGCACAACCTCCATTGCTTCTATATTCCCTGAGATCATAAAACCTTGGGAAAATAAAAAATGGCTTATTTTCACAGGAAGATTAAGAACCCATGTCATAAATGGAACCATTTGGAAGAAAAAGAGGCCATCCTTCTCTTTGCAAAGAGGTAAAAGTTTCCTAGACCCCAGACCTAAGGCATTTGTAGACAAGCTGACATGCCAAACCAACAGGAAGCGCTCAGTTGTGGGGGGCGGGGCATGCAGTGGCATCAGGCTCCTGGGAGATGGGAGAGCAATCCCCCCCAAGCTCACACAATACCTATCCTCCAGATGAACAAGCTCTTCTACATCAGATGACTTTCTTATAGTCAACCGCCACAGCAGCCCCTTTAATCCGCACCTTCTAAAATGTTCCAAGTCACCCACATCCTGAAAGAACAAGCCCGCCACCCAATTCCCGTGTGACACCTTAAAGCGCTCTGAGCTGCAGCACCTGAGCAATGGCCACACAGTCCACACGGCTCCCTCACTCCCCAGACCTGTTTCATGTCCTTCAAAACACCGACCACCGTCTTTAGATCCCGCCGCATGTTAAGTGCTGCGAGAGGCGTATCTGGCGCTCATTCCTCTATTTCCAGTGTCCAGACAGGGCCTGGCTCACTGTGAGCACTCACCACCTCTTGTTGGAAAGAGGAGAGTGAGGAGGGGGAAAGAAAGCTATGTCTACGGCAACTCGGAGCACAGTTTAAGTGTGCAATCCCAATGGTGATCTTGCGCACACGTACTGTTCTTACACTCCAGCTCCTTACCTCCACTCAACCCTAATGAGGAGCCACCTCCCCCATGAATGATCTCCATACAATGCTGGAAGCTGGAGGAAAAGGCAATTTCCACATTGGTTCTCAGCTCGAAAGTGCATGATTTTTAAAATAAGAGAATAGATTAGCTTTGAAAAATAAAGGAGAGAGAGAGAGAGAAAGAGAGAGGGAGGGAGGGAGGGAGGGAGGGAGGGAGGGAGGGAGGGAGGGAGGGAGGGAGGGAGGGAGGAAAGCCCTTTAATATATATCTATATTAAAGATTAAAGACTTAATGACTAACAGCTTCCACTTGACCCTCTCTCTTCTCAGTAGGACTCTTCTCCAGACCACATACACTTGTTTTTAATCTCTCTTGGAAAGGAAGAAATAGAAAATAGTATTGTATGGGTTTAACAGAAAGGAAGATTATTTCCTAAAGAAATACAGAATGTTTCCCCCACTAATTCACTAGCCTGATCCAAAGCTCAGACCACACTCAGAATCCGTGAGGTTACCTCAGGCAGTGGGTAATGGACGTGTTCTGCTCCACATCGACAGAAAGATCAAGAAAATCTTCATCTTTGCTACTCACCTGAAGCAAAAAGAAAAAAAAAGAAAAAGAAAAAAAAGTCTTAGGCACAAAATACACAGCGGACATCGTATCTTGAACACTTTCAGCGGTAACCGAAAACCATAACTGCAGTAAAAGTGGTGTGTGGCTTTGTACATTCACTGACAAGCATGTACCTTGAAACCCCAATCTGCAGAAAATCCCACATTTTCAATTTAATCATACCTCTATCCCAGCTTTGATTCAGAAGTTTTTATTTTTAATGTTTTTATTAAGAGAGAGGGAGAGAGATAGAAACATGGATGAGAGAGAAACATCAGTTGGCTACCTCCTACACACCAACCTCAATTGCTCCATCATCTCATCTGGAGATGGAGCCAAGAACCCAGGCACGTGTCCTGACCGGGATTGAAACCAGCAACCTCTTGCTGTGTAGGACAACACTCGATCCACTGAGCCACATGGGGCTGGCTGGAATTCTTAGGTAATGAAATTACCTAAATCTACCAAATTTCTCTTCCTCTCCATTCATTTCCTCCACTGTTCCAAAGTAGGAAGTATCAGACAGGTGGCCATGGAGCTCAGACTGGCAGAATGATAAAAATGAAAATGAAAAAAGGACGAGAGACGTAGAAGACCTACTACTCGGAGGTCAGCCCTGCATTAAGTTGGCTGCACTTCCTGCCAGTCCCTTGAAATCACCCTCTTCTTCCCGTCTGGTCATTCTAACCACATGAGGGGCCACGGAGCCTAATGCTCGAGAGGCTGGAGAGTCACACCAGCTCCAGCAGCTGTCCTTTGATACAGGACATGGCCACCATTTGCAGAGCCTGCGCTGTCCGTGACGACAACTGGACCCGGAGCTGGCTCGGAGCTGCCTGAAGCCGGGTCTCGCCCAGGCCTGCCCGCCACTCTGGCCAGCTCTCAGGCGGGCTTGGCTCATTGGCCCGGGCTCGTTCTGCGCCCTCCACAGATCCAATCTGGGCCTGCTTACTGAAGCTCACGGAGGAAGTGTGTATATATTCCGGCAGTTCACCAGCATTTTACCACCTTGGAGTGGGAGGGACCAATTATTCCTGCAACAGCTTTGAGGTGCTCAGTCAAGTGGCAACAAAATGAAAATACTCCTTTACATGTGACCATTACCTTGTGACCCAATACCCCACTGCTAGGCCTCACCTAAAGAATTATTCAGAGATCTGAATACGTCTTTTATACTTGTGTAAGTCTACAGAAGTCGGTGTGTTGAGACAGACTGCCCAGCGCCATACCCTATCTCTGCCCCTTAATAAAGTGGAGGACTTATGGCCAGGTACTTAGCCTCCCTGTACCTCAGTTCCTCATCTGTAAAGTGGGGACAGTAAGAGCATCTATTTCATAAGGCTGTTCTAAAGATGACATAAATAATACATGTTAAGTGCTTTAAGAAGTAAACATTCAACAAATCATGAGAAGTAGAAAATGTTAAAAGGCCTAAAATGGTCAAGAAGTTGGAAACAGTTTACATACATTATGGGTATCATCATAGTAAGTGAAGAAGTTGGCTATCCAATTATGTGAATTAATTCCAATTTTATATTTAAAAGGCCTATATCTAGTGGTGGACAAAAGTAGGTTTATAATTTTGAATACAAAAAAACACAGGGTTAATTCTTGTATTATTATTTATTAATTATTGTATTATTTTCCATAGGAACAATTGTAAACCTACTTTCACCCACCCTGTATATTTACACACACACACACACACACACACACACACACACACACACGTCTCTATCATCCTAATTTAATTTTTTATGGCACTTATTACTGCCATGGTAGAATGCACGAAAGGCCCCAGATCCTCACCATTACCTATACTAGCCTCTTTGCCACATGACTTTACAGATCTCGTATGTTCCCCAACCCTTGATTCTGCGTTCAGCCATGTGACATGCTTTGACCAGTGGAATGTTAGAAGACACGGTACAAGAAGGGGCTTGAATAAGCACTTGTGAAACTGCTCTCTCGCCCTCACCACCACGAGGGCCGGCCCACTGTGCCCAGGAGATGAGACCCATGAAGCAGAGCTGTTCTCACATGGGTGCCCAGCCACGCCCAGCCTCGAGTCAAGCCCCAAGCTGGCCTGCAGACACACGGGTGAGCCAGATGAAATACAAATACACAAGTTCAGCCAAGTCCAAGGCTGCATGAATTATACTAATAAATCATAGTTGATTTAGGTCAGACTTTTAAGATGGTTCATAACAAAGCAACAGATAGCCAGTACAACTACAGCAGGTCCTTGAATAATGTGGTTTTATTCAAGGTCATTTTGTTATGACACTGATGAGATGCCATAGGAACTTAACTCTTATTTATATCCATTAGCCAATGGTAAAATTGGTTTCATTATACACGAGAGGCCCAGTGCAGGGATTCGTGCACTGGTGGGGTCCCTGGGCCGAAACCGGCCGGGTGCACGGATTCATCCAGGTATGTTGGGCCCATCTCACCCAGTCCCTATCAGCCAGACCCCAGCAGCATATTAGCCTTTTATTAAGTAGGATGTCCAACAACTGCAAAATATACATTCTTTTCAACTCAGCAAGGGAAACAGCCTTCCAGGGGTCTTCAGGCAATGCTGGGAGACATTGTTGTTGTCTCATCTTGGGGGATGCTACTGGCCTCCAGCAGGTAGAAGCCAGAGATGCTGCTAAACAACCTATAATGCACAGGGCAGCACCTCACAACAAAGAATCATCTCATCTTAAATGTTAAGTTCCAAGGTTGAGAGAACCTGTTTTCAAGTACATTTAAGAAGTCAGACCATATGTTAGGATTCGAAATATGTCAAAATAAAATTAGAAATACTGAAACCATACTGAAGATATTCCCTAACCAAAATGGAATTAAATTCTAAAACAATAATATTAAAATATCTAGAAAAATCCCAAATGTTTGAAAATTAAACAGCATACTGCTAGGTAATGTATGAATCAAAGAAAAAAATCACAAGAGAAAATTAGAAAATATTTTGAACAAATGACAACACAAAAAGTTGTGGGATGTAGCTAAAGCAGCGCTTATCAAGTTTATGGTTTTAAAATGCATATATTAATAAACAGTAGAGCAGGGCCTATCTTTTCTGTATGGTCTAATTACTATAGCCCTTAATTCCTAAAATAATTTTCAGCATTTAGTAGGTACCCAATAAATATTTACTAAATGAATGAATAAATAACAAAAGAATGAACAAGTAAAAATGTATCTAAATTCCAACAGAGACATCTGGGTGACAGAATTATGAATGATTTTCTTTTTATACATTCTGTTTTCTTTCTTTTAATCCTCACCTGAGGATATTGTTTTTTATTGATTCTAGAGAGTAAAGGAGAGACATCAATCTGCTGCCTCCTGTACACACTCCAACCAGGGATCAAATCCACAACCTAGGTATGTGCCCTGAATGGGAATCGAACCAGTAATCTTTTTGGTATACAGCATGATGCTCCACCAACTGACCAACCCGGGCAGGCTATATTCTGTTTTCTTAAAATAATCCACAGGTGTTATTTTTTTTAATTACCAAAACTTTTTCTAGAACCAAATGGCCCTTCTCGTGGGGCTGGGGGGAGGGAGAGGTTTATAGCCAACTGAAATCACACATAATTTAGATAGCTAAGATCAGGTTTAACTAAAAATCTTACAGCTGGAAGGGAGCAAAACAAAGAAACATTTGCTCCTGTTAGGCAGAAATCTTTTTCTCTACTCAGTTGTTTTAGGAAGGGAGGGGGGGGAGGGGTAAAAAATCTAACTAACTAACTGGGTAAAGTTACTGTAACTTTCTCAAGTCCCAGTGCAAACTGTTCCCAGGATTAAGACTGTGAGAAAGCACTGCTGAGGTGGATCAGCCGCTGGGAATATCAAAATATGGCATAAGCCCTCCCACTTGGATTTCTCTCTCTCCCTGCCCCAGATTGACACAGTCAAAAGCAACAAGTAATCAAGCAATCTTTTCTCCTTTTTCTCTTTCCAGAAAGCTGCCAGAAAAGAAAACCATTTTCTTCCCACACACAAGGATCTCATTCCGGCCCAAATGAAAATACAGCTTGTCTCCACGGAAACATATATATCACTAAGACTCCAACACTCTCAGCAAGTACAGGCTACATCTTATTCTCCTTCCTTCCCCCCGACTGGGTTCCCCAAAAACTCTAGCTTAAGAAGGGTGGAAGAGACCCGACTTGCTCTTCTACAAATTAATAATCACAAATTAATTTATAGGGTGTACATATAAATCATGAGCTTTGCTACGTTTCTGAGCCATAAAAATCATATTCAAATGTGCTTCTAAATTCAGAGACTCCTTTCCTTGGCTTATTAGAGAAGGTGACCAGGCAGGAGCCCCAGGCTGTCCAGCCAGGACCTGAAAATGTGCTGCCTTTGAGCGGTGCCAAGACAGTGGACTTGGGACAGGTGGCAACTACAGCCCACCTGGTCCCAAGGACTCAATCAGACCTGGCCACACCACCCACCCCACTCCCTTCGGGGAAGGGCTCAGAAGCTCCACTGGGTCAATTTTTTAAAAATATGTTTTTATTAATTTCAGAGAGAGAGGAAGGGAAAGGGGGGGGGGAGAGAAACATCAACGATGAGAAAGAATCACTGATAGGCTGCCTCCTGCATGCCCCCAACTGGGGATCAAGCTCTGACAGAGAAGCAAATGGTGACCTCCTGGTTCTTGGGTCGATGCTCAACCACTGAGCAACACCGACCAGGCTCCCGGATCCATTTTAACCCCTGCAAGCAAAGCAAGAAGGAGCTGCACTGTCGGTAGTTAATAAAGCGATTCTGTAGACAATCTTTGAGTCCAGTAACAGACAGAAATGTGTCTTAAAGCCACTGAGAAGCACTGAAAACCACCAGTTTGCAGAGCTAAGACTCTGTGTTAAAGGAAAGGAAGAAAATTAACAACAACAAAATTGAGCTCCAATGGGCCCTGCAAATGTGAACCAAGCACAGAACGGCCACAGAGCGCTGAGGCTGCTCGGTAAAACCCCCACGCCTCCATCCTGAAGAGCCGAGCTCCAGGTTATCCAGGGAAGCCAGCACTGAATTACCCCCTTAAAAGTCTCTCCAGGACCGCTGCAGAATGAAACTGTCTCCATAAATCGGCAGTTGACATTTGTACAGCAATCACAAGCAACATTTACAAAGGGCGAGACCCAGAAAAAAAATACATTGTTTTCTGAAAGCACGAGGCTCCCACACAGAGTTTTCCACAATTGGAGGAACCCGCAGCCAGGCAGCTACAATGGCAGGCTTCCCTGGGGCTAATTTGCTGCTCGGGATCTGGTGCCTTTTCTTCCCACTGCGAGATTTCACTCACGAGGGGCCTGGCAATTCTGACTGAAGCGCCGTCTGCAGGCTGCCTGCCCTGAGCAGAGGACCTTGCTCAGAGGGGGCCTGCGTTTCTCCTCCTGGGCAGGAAAGCTTCAACGTTAAGTATGCTTTTACTCCAAGTCCTCAACATTTCACAGTAAAAAAAAAAAAAAGCCTGCCTGCAGGTTATGTATTTTCTTAGAAAGTACAGAGCTTTCTAACAATTAGAGCTTTCTAAAAATGGAATGCATCTCCTCAGGAGATTGAGTTCCCTGTCTCTGGACAGGGTCCAGCGGATGACCAACTGGCTAGGACGACACAGGAGGGACTGGGGCCCAGGGCGAGGAAGGATTAGATGACTCCTGGGATCCTGTTCTGTGAAAGCACCTAAGAAATGGGGGTGATTATCCCAGGAAATCCAGGGGGAAACCACTCACCTCAAATCATCTAGTACTCATTTCAGGTCGGAATAAATGTAAGAATCCATCTGAATGCCCCAGAAAGTCATCCCCACACTCTCCTTCACTCCCACAAACCAACTATAAATGGCCGGGATCCCACTATCACAAACTCCACAGGATCATCCAAAATCTTTGGAGAAATCTTTGGGCTCAGGTTTCTCCTCTATGGTAACCCTGCAGAAATAACAGACCTGTTCAAAGACAACAAAGAAATTACAAGTAAAACTGAGCCTCCCAGCTGAGCCTTCCTGAAAATCCAGACACTGGAAGATGAATTTAATAATGTGTTTATTTCAAAGATTTAAAAAAAAATTAAACCATTTCATTGATCCAAAAGCAGGCAAGAGAGAAAACGAAATATAAAATAGGTGTGTTAAATAAAAACAAAGAGTAGGATAATAAAAACATACTGCCATTTACTAAGCATTTTAAACACCACCACAGATGTTTCCAGAATGTGGAAAATTCTACGGGACAAATAACCTGATTTCTTCAACAAATAAACAGAAAGGAAAAAAATGGGGGGTGGGGTACCTATAAATTAAGACAGAGACTGACCAAGTGCAATGTGTGGACCATGTATGAATCCTGATTTGAATTAAGCAACTGCTAAAAAATATACATGAAATAAAAAAGTTCTAGAGCAACTGAGTGAATAATAGTTTAAAGAAATTATTTTTAAAAGTAATTGTACTTACGTTTAAAATAAAAAGATTTCTTTCCTTTTGGAGATACAGAACAAAGTAATGAAGAAACTACAAGTAAAATGATATGTTATCTGAAATTTGCTTAAAAATAGACCAGTTAGATGACGAGGGAGGGTAAATGGAATTAGAGATGAACAAGATAAATTGGGCCAATGTGTTAACAATCACTGATCCCAAGAGATACACACATGGGATTATTATACTATTCTAATGCTGTATCCATATGAGTTTTACTGGAATGTAGAATACAAAGGAACGAAAGGAGAAAGGGAAGAAACATAGATATCTAGATAGATAAATATGTGTAGAAAATGTTCTGGCAGGATATATTTAAAAATGTTCCATTGTTACCTCTGGCTAATGTGGGCATCTCTGAGTAGGGAGATTATTTGTAATCTTTAGTCTCTTTTTGTTTAGCTATGTTTTCTTTCTTTCTTTCTTTCTTTCTTTCTTTTTTTTTACAATGAACAAATCAGAATGTTAATTCCAAAATTGTTTAAAAGGACAGAAAGACTGTCAGAAAAAACAAAGAGTATTCCTTTTAAATCCACATTCTTGACTACTTTTGTGTAGAAATGTTTTGGCAAGGGTTACAGCCCCTTTACAAAATCTGATAAAAGCTACTCTCTCTCAGAGAAAATGCACAATCGTACAGAATTTTTCATGCAATGTCAAGAAACTCGAAGGTCCCTAAGGAACCCATAGACTTCCTACACTATTAGTAATTATTATAATATCTAACATTTTTTGCATACTTCCTATGTGCCAAGCATGGTTCCAAGTGTTTTACAAATGTTAACTCACTTAATCCTCCAGCAACCCTATGAGATAGGCACTGTCAACATCCCCAATTTACAGATGAGGAGAGAAGCCAGAGAGGTGGAATAATTTGCACAGGGCCTCACAGCTACCGAGTGGCTGAGCCAACATTCAACTTGGCCGCCTGGCTGTAGAGCTGGGTTCTACCTACCATATTTTGCGCCACATACAGACTTAAATCAAGTATACCAAGCAAACGTAACATCCTGAATCATATTCTGGAGATCACAGCTTCAGATCCAACTAACACCAAGTGCCTACATACCATGTGCCAAGCTCATCCAAGCACTAAGCTCACCCGGCCCTCACAACTGCAATGTAAGGGACTTGGAGAAGTCTCCTGACCTCAAGTTCACCATATTACACAGCTGATTTCCTTCAAGTCAGAGAGATTGTCTAAGTCACACATGACCTCCTTGCAACCAAAATCTTTTCAAGATAACCAGTACAACAGTTTAATCTGTGGGCCCTAAAATTTGCCCAGGATGCAAAGCAACCCAGTTGTTAAGAGTGCCCTAGTCACTCTACGTTAGCCAGTTGAGACATCTTAGATGGAGACATGCTTGCAAAAGTTTGCACCTGAGGTTCATATACATAAGTAGAAGTGTCTGCATGTACTAAAGACAAATGTTGATACTATGATACCACATTGCACTCACACGCAACCTGGCCTCTACAAATACAAGCATTATTACATGCGAAACCAACCAATGCTTACAGTTTCACAGTTCAAGCATCGAGTTTCATTGGTGAGCGTTCCCTGAAAAATCTCATGGACCCAAGTGAGTTCTGGTTTATTGTTCTCTGCAGGTTCATTCATGTTGCCATTTTTTAATTTCCCATTTTGTTTCTCCTGTTTCTTCTCTTCCTGCAGGATGTCCGCAATAGTGTTTAGCAAATAATTTAAAAATTCGTGAGCATCCTGCTGCATGTAGTTATCAAAGAGATCTGGAAAAGAGAGGGCCATTATTTCAGTCTCTGGTCCTTAAAAAGCAAACAAAAACGCTCAATTTTACAGGCGACACTTCAGTTTTTATATTGAAAGGGGGAACAAGTATGCAATGTATTCATCTCTATTTGGCAACTTCATTAGGTAAGTTTGAAAAGAATTTTTGGTCGTGTTAATTTTTTCTGCCCACCAAGAACTGAATTTCATATATTTCCTTAAAGTCATCGTGTAAATAAAAAGCTAGCAAAATTTCTTTACAAAAAAATAGTAGAAATTACTTGATAAGTTCCCTGATAAAATATCAATATTTAGCCGGAACTGGTTTGACTCAGTGGATAGAGCATCAGCCTGCGGACCGAAGGGTCCCAGGTTCGATTCCGGTCACGGACATATATCTTGGTTGCAGGCACATCCTCAGTAGGGAGTGTGCAAGAGGCAGCTGATGGATGATTCTCTCTCATTGATGTTTCTAACTCTCTATCCCTCTCTCTTCCTCTCTGTAAAAAAATCAACAAAATATATTTTTTTAAAATATATATCAATATTTAATATGATGTGACCACCAATGATCAGTTATTCATTCTGTAATTTATTCAGAGCAACCGGAGTCTCTCCCCAAAGATTACACTGAACCCTGGACCAGCCTGGAAGCAGCTTCATCGAGCCCATACGGGAGACGAGAGATGCATGTGAGAATGTGTCTACCTGATAGTGTCTGAAACCAAACACAAATGCTTCCAGCAGCCAATTGCTGGTCCCTGCCGTACAGACAAACAATCTAGAGATGAGTGCAGCTGTGAGACTTCATTATTAATCATGTTCACAAGACTCAGGCGGGCTCTGCTTCCTTCTCAGGCTACTTTTATTCTGGTGCATAGAAACTGCAACACCTTTAAGAGGCAGCAATCAAATTGAACGAGACTTTATAAAACAAACATCTGATTAACTCTGCAAATCTGTTGGAGTAAGGCTGAAATCTAGGACAAACACAAATTGCCATATCAAATATTTCCACAGTCATAAAAAGTACTAACACAAAACTTCTGGAATAACCTAGTGTCTACCACCACTCGCCCGTCTTCCCAAAATGACAGAAAAAGCAGAAAAAAATCAGGCGACAGCAGGACATTTTTATCATATAAAGATACCAATTTAATACCCTTTGTCTCAGGTAAATAAAAATGACAGGTATTATTTTTTAAATAGGAGAGGCCCTGATTAGGTAATATGCATTTACTTTAATCACTTATAATAAGTTTATAAGATAGTACTATTTCATTCAATTAGTGCATCAATCTATTTCTTCCAATCAGTGTCCTGCTTAGAAGGATGTCTTGGGCAAATTTTCCTCTTACAATGATCAGACCTTACAAATGTGAAACAAATAAAAAGACCATTCCAAAGTGAAATGACAAATCTGAATTTTTAAAGCATATTTTTAATCTAGTTTTGTTTTATGTATACTAGGTAGGAAAGAAGAAATATATCTTCTTTAAAAAACCGTATTTTTAAATACTATTTCCCCCTGGGGAGACTGAAGGATCCGTTCTGAGGATGCACAGAACTAACTGTCCATTCTCCTTACTTCAGACTCAACACACATTCATGCCCTCACTACTCACCATTCTCTTTTCTCAGCCTCGAAATGAACTTCTTTGGTGGGATCACGCCAACCTTCTTCTTCTGCGTGGCAATGCTGTGGAAAAGGTCTGCCAGGCACGTCAGCAAGTTTTCCTTCTTTTTTTGCTGGGCCTTGTATGCCAGCACATTCTCACGGAACGGCCGGCAGAAGTACAAGGCCTGGAGCACAGAGTTACAGTAGCACGTGTTGCCGAACTGCCAAAGGACAACAGGTCTGGTTCAGATCACGGCCCAGGACACACCACCTCTGGGAGGGGTCGGGAGAGGGAGAAGGCCACCCTCCAGGAACCAACCGGCCGGCAGTCCCTGCATCAGAGTGCTGCTCGCCATTTCAGAAAACGAGTCACCACCGGTGACCAGCTGGCCAGCAGGGAATGAACAGTCTACACAGCCTGCTGCCTCTCTAGCCCATCAGCATCTCTAAAAAGGCAAGAAGCACTCTGCCTGGATTAAAAAAAAAAAAAAAAAAAAAAAAAAAAAAAAAACTCTAATGAGACCTCCTGGTGCTTAAAAAACAAAACAAAAACAAAACAAAAAAAACAGAAAATAATAACACTTGACATAATACAGAGACCCAGAAAGGCAGCTGGCTAAATAAGAGATACTAAAAAATAAATAAATAAATAAATAAATAAATAAATAATAAATTTAAAAAAAGGGAAAATAAAATTGATGTTTTTAAATAATTAAATACATACATACATACATAAGAGATACTACACTGCAGCACATCAAAACTCCTCTGACAGCAAAAATAAAACCCCGAACACAAAGAAACCCGGGCACTAGGAACCCCTTGCTCAGATGAAACAGCCTTAACTGAATGGGATTGAATTCAGTCTTTCTCTCTCAAGATTCTAGCAGCCTGCCCACTGGCTTCAGACCACATTTCCTCGCTTCCTCCAGAGCCCCGGAGGCAAGCAGGTGCCCCCTCCCTCGTAACTCCTGAGTTACCCTCGCTCTCGTTTCTGCCCAGATGCGATACCACAGCCCTCGGCTCCTGTCTCCTGCATCAGATCGGGCCCCGCAGGAGGATGTGGTGCCTTTCAAACCCACAGACACTCAGATGATGGCTAAAGAGGGAAAAAGTCCTCATCTCACTGGCTTTACAGACTGGAAAACCAACTCTGTAAGCGCACAGCAAAGACATCACTTCAGACTTTTTCCTACACGTATAATGAAAAGGGAAAAAACTAAGGAAATAAGATTAAAACCACTGAGAGCAAAATGCTGTGTAAGACTGAAATAACACGAGCATCTTCCCAGGACTGGCTGTTGGCTTGTGTGCCGTTTACCCAGCAGCCAGACAGATGCCCCGCCATGCTTACAGTGACATTTCTACACATGCTAAGATAGAACAGCTCCTATTTTTACATATTTTAATCCACTTGGACACAATTATGTAATAGGAGGCAAACCTCTCTCTCTGTCTCCCTTTCTCCTTCCCTCTCTCTCTCTCACTCTCTCCTTCCCTCTCTCTCTCTCTTTTTGTTGTTAATCCTCTCAAGGAAATTTTTCCCATTGAGTTTTAGAGAGTGGAAAGGAGTGGAGAGGGATATGAGAGGGGGAGAGAGAGAGGATGGAGAATGAAATATCACCGTGAGAAAGACACACCAGTTGGTTGCCTCCCACATGCACCCGGACCAGGCCAGGGATGGAACCTGCAAACCCAGGTGCATGCCCTTAACCGGAATCAAACCTGTGACCCTCTGGTGCACAGGCCGATTCTCTAACCACGGAGCGCACCAGCCAGAGTGAGACAAACCTCTTTTTAAAGAAAAGCTGGACTATCCATGAATTACCTTTCAAAGTGAACATAAAGCTATTAATGAATTTAGGTCTCACATGCTCCCACAACCTAGGCCTTACTTCTTTCTTCCCCATAGCCTGCACTTGTATTTTCCTTAGCCAGGCAGAATTCCACCACTCGGATATCTTCAGAGAGCATAAGCAGAGGCCCATGCACAATGGCTAAACAATAAATTGTATTAAAATGAGAAGTCAGCATTTCGTCAACACAATGCCCTCTATCCCAGTACTTCCTCCTTCCATTCTTTTCTCTTTACACAATGGGTTGTCTTTACCCAAATACCCTTATCACACTTGGTCTCATCCAACGGACAAGTCCTGGAGAAGAGAAGGAGCTGACGTTCACCAGGTGTCCACAATGCACCGCAGCCTCCAGTCAAGCCTTCAACAGGAGCTCTGATGGGCCCTTCCACTATAAACCAAGGGGTAAAATGACTGGTTTCCACCGTACAGATGGGGAAGGAGGCTCAGAGAGGTCACATGACTTGCCCAAGATCAGACAGCTAGCGAAAGGCGTAGGCAGAGCTCAGACTTGGGCCTGTATTACGCTGAAGCCAATATCCATTCTTTCCATTATAATCATAGGCAGCATTCACTTCCAGAGAGTACGTCCAGCCTCCTCCATGGGAATTACTACCTATCCCACCTGGTACTGACTGTGCTCGGAGCAGTTGTTCCAGAAAACCGGGTGCTTGTGAACTAACAGGGGATGTCACTTAAAGCCCCACCGCAGAGGGAAGCGCACGAGGAGGGTGGTGGGTGATGCTGCCTTACCACTTGGTCATAATCAGCTCATCCAGGAAGCAGAGCATGTAAGTCTGGCCACAAACAAGGGAGCAGTGCTGAGCACAGACGAAATGAAGACAAGGAATTCTGAGATATACTGGCCCCCCACTCCCCGTCCGTGCTTCGGGTACCACCACCAAGTTATTCTGTTAAACACTTACTGGTGATGACTTGGAAACATTTTTTTTTTAATTTTTTATTTTATTTTATTGTTTAAAGTATTACAAATAGTAGTACATAGGTTTCCTTTTTTCTCCCCCATTGACCTTCCCTCACCTCCCTCCCCCCCAGCACACCTCCCTCTACCCCACTCCCCCCTACCCACCCCCTGTGTCTTGTGTCCATTGCAGAGAAAAAGGAATCCTCATGCACTGCTGGTGGGAATTCAGACTGGTACAGCCACTGTGGAGAATAGTGTAGCATTTCCTCAAAAACCTAAAAATGGAACTCCCATTTGACCCAGTAATCCCACTCCTAGGAATATATCCCAAGAAAACAGAAACATCAGTCAAAACCGGTTTGGCTCAGTGGATAGAGCTTCGGTCTATGTACTGAAGGATCCCAGGTTTGATTCCGGTCAAGGGCATGTACATTGGTTGCGGGCACATCTCCAGTGGGGGGTGTGCAAGAGGCAGCTGATAAATGTTTCTCTCTCATCGATGTTTCTGGCTATCTATCCCTCTCCCTTCCTCTCTGTGAAAAATCAATAAAATATATTCTTTAAAAAAAAAAAAAAAAAGAAAGAAAGAAAACAGAAACACCAATCAGAAAGGATATAAGCACCTCTATGTTCATAACAGCACAATTTACCATAGCTAAGATTTGGAAACAGCCTAAGTGCCCATCAGCAGATGAGTGGATTAAAATTCTGTGGTACATCTACACAATGGAATACTATGCTGTGGTAAAAAAAAAAAAAAAAAAAAAAAAAAAAAAAAAAAAGATGGCAACACTTTTAAAACTCTGATTGTACTGATGTATCTGAAACAAAGACTACCTGAGGAGTCTATATATCCAGAGGGCAAAGGGGGAGCATGTGAAAGCAGATTTTGGGACAGGAGTTAATAAAATCCCCTCTCAAAGGTATGGGTACAATGGAAATCCTTTAAAACAGCGGTCACCAACCGGTGGTCCAAAAGGTTGGCGCCCCTGCTTTAAAATACAGGTAGGAAAAATGAGAACCTGATGCAATAGTGTGGTAGTTAAACCCTTCTTTCTGAGATAACTCACACTTTCAAAAATTTCTCCCTCCCCAACATTTGCCACTTCTGGTAACTAAAGAGCATGAACAATTGTCTAAAAATTTTTTATGAAAATGGCAGTGAAACCCTGGCTGGTTTGCTCAGTATTCAGAGTGTCTTCCCTCAGACCAAAAGGACTTAGGTTCAATTCCTGGTCAAGGGCAAACAACATACCTTGGTTGCAGCTTCAACATAGTACCTGGCCCCAATTAGGCATGAGCAGGAAGCAACTAATCCATGTGTCAATCCATGTGTATCTCTCACATCAATGCGTGTCTCTCTCCCTCTCTCTCTCTCTCTCTTTCTCTCTCTCTCTCTCTCTCTCTCTTTCTCTCCATTCCATTCTCTCTAAAAAATATCCACACTCTGGGGTGAGGATTAAAAAAAAAAAAAAAAAGAATCAGAGAAAAACAAGTACTCCATAATTGCACTCATTATGTGAAATCTAAGTAACAAAATAAACTGATGAACGAAGTGGATCCAGAGACACAGACACATAGAACAGAGTGCAGACTCTTAGAGGGAATTCAGGGGCGGGTGGGTGGGAGATAATCAACCAAAGGCCTTGTATGCATATATGTGTAACCCATGGACACAGACAATAGGGTGCTGAAGGCCTGGAGCGAGGGGCTAGGCTATGGGGGCGGGCTGGAGGGGGTCAATAGGGGGGGAAGGGGAGGTCATATGTAATACTTTCAACAATAAAAAAATTATTTTTTAAAAAGAAAAGAAAATGGCAGTGAAATTGCTTCAAGTATTCTAAAATATTTGAGAAAAATAATACATTTTAATAGTTTCAACAAAAGATAAATTAAAAATTAAGTAATAATGCATTTTTAAATACTTACATTGACCAATCCGAAGTAGTGCTCATTGATGGGAAACTGCTCTGGGCCGATGTCTTTTTCCAGAGCAGAGGCATTGGTGCCCTACAGGAGAGAAAGAACGAGAGCTCTGTTCCATGTACAAGAACAAGAAGGTAAAATGATACTTGAGAGGCCACTTGAGACAAGCATCTCCCCTGGTTGCCCTGGTGTTCGATGCTCATGCTGAAAGAAAAGGGGTCAGAAGTAAAGCTGCCGTAAATCCTCTCCTCATCTAACTTAATCGTCCCTCAGATCTGTTCCTCCCAACTTCAATTATCTTCTACTCAGAAAGGAGGTTCGCGACAAGCAAATGAGCAAACTGTCGCTAGGAGCTTCTGAACAGCCCAGCTGGTGTAGCTCAGTGGTTGACGAGCCCATGAACCAGTTCGATTCCCAGTTCGATTCCCAGTCTGGGCACATGCCTGAGTTGTGGGCTCGACCCCAGAGGACAGCCGAATGATGATTCTCTCTCTTATCATTGATATTTCTAACTTCCCCTCCCTTCCTCTAAATTAGGGGTGTCGAACTCAATCAGAGAAGGGGCCAAAATCTAAAATCCAGCCTAAATCGCAGGCCGAATGGTTTACTGAACAGTCATAAACTGTCACTGTGATGGAAACGCAGCGGAGTGCAGTGATGACAGCGCGGTGCGGGCCACGTTGCAAGGCCTGGCAGGACGGATTTGGCCCGCGGGCCTTGTGTTTGACACATGTGCTCTAAATCAATAAAAACATTTTTTTAAAGGGCTGTTGAATAGCCGAAACTGGTTTGGCTCAGTGGTAGAGCATCGGTCTGTGGACTGAAAGGTCGCAGGTTCGATTCCGGTCAAGGGCATGTACATTGGTTGCGGGCACATCCTCGGCAGGGGGTGTGCAAGAGGCAGCTGGTCGATGTTTCTCTCTCATCGACGTTTCTAGCTCTCTCTCTCTCTTTCTTCCTCTCTGTAAAAAAATTAATAAAATATATTTTTAAAAACAAATAAATATAATGGTATATGGACCTGATCCATTGGCAGAAAACCAGCAGGATTTAAAAAATAAAAATAGCCAAAACTGGCTTGGCTCAATGGATAGAGCATCGACTTGGGGACTGAAAGGTCCCGGGTTCGATTCTGGTCAAGGGCATGTACCTTGGTTGCGAGCACATCCCCAGTAGGGGGTGTGCAAGAGGCAGCTGATCGATGACTCTCTCTCATCGATGTTTCTAACTCTCTATCTCTCTCCCTTCCTCTCTGTACAAAATCAATAAAATATATTTTTTTAAAATAAATAAATAAAAATAAAAAAATAAAGAGCTGCTGAATAGAATATTCTAGGCTCAGATAGTGTCAGCCGCTTTAATAATCTTTAGTGGTGTACAGAATCACACCATCACTTTCAAAGTCAATGCCTTCATTCTGCTAGATGTACCACATACCCACAGATTAGCACCATTCTAGGCTCTCACAACGGAACAGTGAGCAAAGTGGACATGGGTGCACGCTCTCATGCAGCTCACATTTCAGTGAATGAAGACAGGAGAAGCAAATACACTGGACAGAGGTGGTAAGCGCAGTGGAGAAAAACAAGTAGGAAACGAGGGTAGGGGGCCAGGGAGGATGGGGTGAAGGAGAGGCATGGTGGAGTGGGCGGTAGAAGGTGGACTGCTGCAGCTTTAAATAGGGAGGCCAGGGAAGGCCTGACTGAAAAAGTGAAATGTCCAAGGGATATTGTGGATAATGGAGGAATACAATTTAAAAACTAACAATTCCCAAATGCATCCAATTGGTAAGCTCATGAACCCAACCAACTCTCCAACCGATGACAGTAATAGTTCCTGGGAACTCCCAACATGTGCCAGAGATTGCGCTATTTATTCTCACAACAATCCTATACGTACTACCATAATCTGCATTTAACAGACGGAGACACATAGCTCAGAAGGGTTAAAAACCTATCAGAGGACCACAGTGGCAGAGCTGGGACTTGAAATGGAAGTCAGATTTAGGAGCCCGAGATCTTAACCAAATGCTATGCAGAGCAATCCCATTACTAAACACCACCATTTACTGAGCCCCACTAAGCGCCAGGGGGCACCAGCATCACCACTTAGTTATCATTCCCCCAGGGCCTGGGTGAGTGCTGGGAGAAACATGAGCAAAGCTCAGTGCCACGAGGTGAGGAGTTTGAGGGTGGTGGGCAGGTCAGCTCCCTGAGCACGGCGGTTCCATCCTACAGCCTTCTCATGTTCTCAGGCTGTCATGAGGCCCTGGGTTCACAGAATCTCAGACTGAGGAGGTAGGTATTTTAAAAAGGAAAAGAAAAAGAGACTTATGTTTTATTTAAAAAGTAAACCTGCTGCTGCTACTTATTCTGGACTAATATAATTATCACTTCCTGTCATAGGAAGAAATGGTCAAAAAGTGGGCTGAAAACCAGTCAAAATGGTCACATGTCAATAAACACCATTAGCCCTAACCGTATTGGCCTGTGGACTGAAAGGTCCCAGGTTCAATTCAGTCAAGGGCATGTACCTTGGTTGCGGGCACATCCCCAGTTGGGGGGTGTGCAGGAGGCAGCTGATTGATGTTTCTCTCTCATCGGTGTTTCTAACTCTATCCCTCTCCCTTCTTCTCTGTAAAAAAATCAATAAAATATATTTAAAAATAAATGAACACCATTAAATGCAAAATAACCCAATTCTAGGCAAAGAGAAGAGCAGCAGAAATAGCACATTCCAACCCCTTGTCATAACATTGTTTTCCCTTGTTTTCAGGTTCACATGCTGCTCCAGGATCCACATTCCCGTCCCTTCAACTGAGATGGAATTCTCTGGTCATCTGTGTGCACAGCAGTTTCACTACTGCTGTGTGTGCATGCGCATGAGCACATGCAGGGGTTTTGCTGCCTTCCCAATAATGCAACCCAAACACAAGGCTAGATTTTTAAAATAATACTTATAAAATAACTAGAGGCCCTCTTACAATCTGGGAACCCTCAGGGGATGTCGGAGAGCTGGTTTCGGCCCGATCCCCATAGGCCAGGCAGGCCAGGCAGGCCAGGCGTAGGGACCCCACTGGTTTAGGAATGCACCGGGCCCCTAGGATGCATATAAGATCTTTGGTTAATCTCTCCAGCCCTCCTCCCTCCCCTCTTCCCTCAGAGATTCATCAGTCTGTCCCATGTTTCCATGCCTGTGGTTTCTGCTCCTGCATTGAGTGTCTGCCCACTACTGGTGGTCAGTGCATGTCCTAGCTACTGGCCATAGAGGTCCGGTGCATGAAATTCATGCATGGGGGAAGGGAGGTGTCCCTCAGCCCAGCCTGCACCCTCTCCAATCTGGGACATCCTTCTCCAAATTCGGGACCTCTGGCTCCTAACCGCTGGCCTGCCTGCATGATTGCCCCCTAACCGTTCCCCTGCTAGCCTGATCACCCCCAACTGCCCTCCCTTGCCAGCCTTATCTCCCTTAACTGCTTGCTCCCCTACCAGCCTGATCGCTCCTAAGTTCTTGCTCCCTTACCAGCCTGATTACCCCTAACAGCCTCTGCCTCGGCCCCCACCACCGTGGCTTTGTGGCTGGGAACTTCCAGAAGGTTCGACGTCCGGAAGATGTCCAGTCAACCAGGTCTAATTAGCATATTACCCTTTTATTAGTATAGATACTTATATTACAGCAAGATTTTATAGAATAGACAAAAATCACTAAAATTTTTAATAAAGCTACATCTCAATCATAAATCAATGTATTTTAAATACACCCACAGCTGCTTTGAAGCAACATGAGTAGACGTGGCTTAGAGCCCAGAAGGAATGTCAGATATACAAGTATAGCACATGGAGACAGATCTCATTAAATCTTTCTTTAGGAGCTAGCCATATATTATTCGAGTTAACCCTTGATTTTTGCTCTTTGGGGATTATTGGATTGAGTCTGCTTTTTTCTAACTATCTTAACACATTGCACACCAGTAGTTTTATTGCTAGCTTTACCCAGTGGCCAGATAAGTTTCTACTGAATGAGTACAAAAAACAAAGTACCATACTTCAAAAAGATATTAGCTTCTAAGAACATATAATAAATAACTTCAAAATGCAATGGCTATTTAATTTTAAGGCGTGCCTTTAACATTTATGTAAAACACTGTGTAATATGAAAACACAAAAATCTCCTGATCCGCCCGCAGTGTGTTAATACTCTCCCATCAGAGGGGGACGAGGAGGAGGGAGGGTGATGGCGCACACTAAGGACAGTGACCAGGGCAATGTTTAAGAAAAACATCAGGTCAAAACATCTGCCCTCCTGCTGCCTGTGCTTTCCAGCACTGTGCAAACTCCTTCCTTTCTCCTCTTCTTGGTTCACCCCCATTCACAGAAGGCTTACCTTTGCACCCCATCTCCTGCCAGCATCCTGGGAGGTCCCCATACCCATGTGGAGGAGTCTCCCCAAACCCTGCTCTCTCACCAACTGGATGTCCTCTTTCCTGCTCTCTTCCATTCCACTCCCGTTCAGCTCCCACTCCCACAGATTGCCCAGATCCGGGGACCCCTAAAACCCACCAGCTCGGCTCCACCAGCTGACTTCCTAAAGCCCTCCCCTCCCAGCTACTAGTACACACGTCGCACCAGAACCACTTACTCCTCTACTTTCTCACTCAGCTGAGGGACCATGATCATGATTTCAACTGTCTTATAAACAGCTTTACCCTGTGCTGTGGCCACACCACCTGGCAAAAAAAAAAAACACCACAGTAAGAACCAAATTATCCACCTTGTCTAATATACATTCAGACAATGTACAAAGTCACACACCCAGCTCACTGGATTCTCCAGGATTCACCAAATTCAAGTGGCCCTGTACACACCCCACCTCCCAGCAACGGTCTCCAGTGCACACAGTCTCTACTCCACAATGACAGTTTCCAACTTCCTTCAAGCCCCTGAGAATGTCAACATCCCCTCTGCCCTTCTCACTGGCCTCCCACTAAACAGAAAAGAAGCTTTTTTAAACCAGCAGAGAGCTCCTTTAATTCTGCACTCCCAAACCTTCAAACCTGTGTGCCTCCCGTTAATGACAGAGATCTC